CCCAAAACCCCAAAACCCCAAAACCCCAAAACCCCAAAACCCCAAAACCCCAAAACCCCAAAACCCCTTATATTCATGTCAGAATTGAGATCATTTAAGGCTATCCAAGATAATAGAAAATAGCAGGTATTTGCCCACTAGATTCAGAGGTTCCATTGCAGCAATCAGTGCCATATGAGATAGAAAATAATCCTACATCTTCATTTTCAATGTTTCCAACATCATGTCCATCGGTTCCGTAATAAGTGTTTGTGTATTGACTATTTTCTAAGCTCTTGGCTATCTTTATTAAGATATTTATCTTTGAGTTTGCTTTTGCAGGATGATTTTTCTCCAGATAGACGCTTTTATAGTAGGTGTCTTCCCAATCAGTATAGACTTGAGCTTCTGTCTCTTCAACAACCACATCATCAATGGTTATCTTGTACTTCATTTCGCATTGAGAATCTTCTTTAGGGACAAAGAATTGAAAGCCAGCAACTGTGATATCTTTGTTTGGGGTAAATGCAATCGCATCTGCACTTCCTCCACAAGACCAGGTTCCACCTTCATATCATTTTGGGAATCTTTTGAACATCCTTGGTTTGCCGAGGCTTTCGAAAGCATAGATATAAGTATCTTTTCCGTGTTCGTAGATATCAGCAAAATCCTCGCTTAAGCTGATGATCTTTTGATTATGAAACAGCTTGAAATTGCCCATATTTTGTCCAAGAGATTGGAACACTGAGGCCATATTCTCTTTTAAGCTTCTATTCAGGTTATAAGATCCTTGGACAGTAAACTTGCTGCCAGATTTCTGGACTCCTCTAAGATAGATATCCATTGAGCTTTGGAGAATTTTCTTGCTATTTTCATCAATGTCTACTTGGACACCTTCCATTTGCAAGGCTGGCAAGTTTATTTTTATGCTAGTTAGTTTACCATCTTCTGCCTCTGTTCTATCTGTAACAGTACAGAAGACTTGCATTTCAGTATGGAAATACTTTGAGCCATGAGTAAAAGGTTGGACATCTTCTTCAAAGGTATGGATGACAGTATCTTTGGAATGCTCTACTGCGTCTGGATCCTTCTTCTCTTGCTTATCGCTTTCTTGTTGGGATAGATTAATATTCTTAAAGAGGAGAACCCCATCATCCTTGGTTCTTAGCCAGATTCCTTCCTTAGATTCCATTATCAGACTATTTCTAAATTTATTCTATATTGCTTCTTAGCAACGGGGTTTTGGGGTTTTGGGGTTTTGGGGTTTTGGGGTTTTGGGGTTTTGGGGTTTTGGGG